TAGTACCTACTTGGATGGGGAACATTCCCATAAAATTTCAGCTCTCTAGCTTTTCTGGTTCGCGAGCTATCAGCTTACCCATAAAAAATTTCGGCGGGGTCTTACGTGAGTACCACGCGGGAAAGACCGCCCATTTTGAAGACAGGGGCCCGTACGTTCATGTAGATTAAGTCCCCAAAGTTTCAGCCCGTAGCTTTTGCCGGTCTCGAGATGAAAAATCGATACAGAGGCCCAGCTCACACACAGACACACACTGACAATCTCTCGTCAATATGCGTTTTTCGCACTGCATTGCTGCAAAAAACGCATAAAAACCACAGGATACAAAAAAGTTGAGACCAAACCGAATTACTGATGCTGATTCAAAGTTCCAGAGAAACAACAGCTGCTCAAGGGGAAATCCTAGGTAACGAAGCATTAGGCTTACCGATGCGATCATGCGTTTTCGCGCCAAACATAAAACAGTCAGATCGACAGCAACATGAATGGCTTCTATTTTACAGTTCGACACGTGAACTCATACTGGCTATGTTTCGACCTTATTGCATGCAGTGGGAAAAGGGTACCGGTTGGGACGGTAGTCTTGCATCGTAAGGCCACAAGAAATCTTAACCTCTAACACATTTGATTACCGCAAATTTATTCCGCGACCAGTCGTTTATCGAGAAATGCAAATTTGACAATGAACCGCATGTTGGGAGAGGATTACGAAATCTGCAGAACTCATTCATTTTTAAGGTTGCGATAGAATTGAGTATTTGTCATACCCACGTGCAGGGAAGTTAGCCTCCAAGCTGAATTTACATTCCAGTTGTACATATCGTACCTTTGCAAAGTTTTAACTTGGCTAGCATACGAAATCGCCACTTCGCTACAAATATTTTCAACGTACTCAAATATACGACGCAAATGCAATTCGAAACTCCATTTAAGTAAATAATTCTCCAGATGGACTATAAATATTTCGGCAAAATTACAGCTGCTATTCCTCCACTAGTTTTCGAGTAGACGTAAGGCCGGATGTAAACTTCGACGCGACCTCATACGGTATTGCGCGCGAAAGCTGAACTTGAACCTTTAGCTCATACATGGACAGAGACTATCCCTGCAAAATTCCAGCCCCCATGTTTTGTGATTTTTCCAGTCGTTTCCTGCCAGAAAAACATGTTTTTTAGGCGTCTGTACGTAGCATCTAGGTGTGCAGGAGCGCTGATTTTAAAAAGGGAATGGTACTATAGGGGTGGGCGTATCTCTACAATTTCAACTTTCCCGATTCCTAGTTATTGGGTTGAAATTGGGTGTCAAAGTACACTCGCCCTTCAACATTTACACACATATACATATAAACACAAACACACACACACACACACATGGAAAACCTCTCCACAATATGCCTTTTTGCATTTGTACGAAACGGAAAAACACATAAAATAGAGACAACTTGAAGGAGGCATTTTTTGCAGATCCTCACAATGGACAATACTCCTCACCATGGCAAGTTCCACAATCGGCTGTTGGTGAGTGCGTGGAATTATAACCAAAGGTTGTGATGCGATGCGACCCGCAACAATATCAAGGCCGATTAGGTTTCTTCTCGGTGCCACTGACTGCTGCTGGAACCACCAGTTGTTGGCCTGCTGCTGGCGCTCTAGCTGTGCCATACGCGTCGATATCAGCACTTCATGCCTCGGATTAATCAGTCTGCAAGCAACAACCTCATCACAAACTGTCACAGATTCTCCTCTTGCCACTGGAAACTTCACC